TTATAGCAGAGGGAACAATGAGTGTTGTTCCAGCAGTGTGACAGGTATACTCCAGAAACCTCAAGGAGGTGAGGATATTGCAATAGTGTGTCATATCCAGCTCTCGGTGGGACTTCCCTCCTGTCCGCTCTGTCCAATTCTCTTAGACACGAATTGCTGGCTCAATTCTAGAATGCCCCACCCATTCCAACACACAGTTTAAATGTGAGTGAGAGGGGAGAGAGACTGCATCTGTGTGGCTTCATGTTTCTTTGCCCCTTCCAAGAATTTAACCCCCTTTTGTGATGGGATAGCATGTGGTGGGTGTTGCACCTGCACCATCTGGCAAGAGGTTCTCTTCACATTCTGCTGAGGGATGRTAGAAAGAAAGGTGTGAGTTTAATACAATATAGTGTAGCACTTGTAAAGCCAGGCAGAGTGCAGGGCCTATAGTGAGTCTAATAACAATATTTATGACTGTTGTTCAAGATCATTACCCTTGGGCAAAATATGTTATTTTTACTTGATTCCTAACTGCCTTACATATATTTTCTTTGTAATTGACTACTATTGTTATCTTTATTTCACTCATGAAGAGTTTAACCGGCCCATGACCATGAGTCTACAAATTTTGAGTCYGCAAATACTTAGAGAAGACTAGATTTGAACTTAGATCTGTCCAAATTTAAAGACCATGTTCTTAGCTAATACATTAATTTCTCAATTATGAACTTTTCATATTTCTTTTGTAAAATTAAAACCTGCGAAGACCAATTATAAATTCAAAGTAATGATCCTGCTTTCATAAGCAGAACCTTAGATTTATTGCAATGACAAAACAAAAACAATAACTTTTGACACTGTGAATTATGTTATTTCCCATAGAATCATTATAAACCAAAGCCGGTGAAGATGAGGTATGGAGCATGGTATTTGAACACCAATTTATGGAAAAAGCAAAGAGCAGATGAACCTTTGGTTGATCCCAGAGTTTCATCTAAATCGCAGGATGAGAATTTTAAAAAGAAGCTACAGGACCGGGTATGTAGATATGCTGAGACTTGATCCTCTGAGCTAAGGATGATCACAGGGTCTCTGATGGAACACTGAGGCTCTGGAAAGTCCTATAGCTTGCATGTTGAATTCAGCACTGAGAAAGGCTGGTAATACTGTGGGAAATGGGTGATAGGCAAGACCTGAACCCTCCTAGCTGGGTGGTAAACACAATGTCTCTAAAGATGGGACCACCACTCAGCTCACTTCTTCCATTTTGGAACAATTGATTCCATGAATAATTGTTCAAAGGGCAGTTGACATGGTAGGACCACCTCRGTCCTTAGAATCGATACGCTGTCTTGGAGGCTTTTGGGTTACTAAGGGGGACGCTTGCTTCCTATCAGTAATGGATGATTGTCCAAAAATACAAAATGCAACTGGGAAAATTCTTTTTTTTGTGATTTAGCAAAGCTACAAGTTCTGACTGAGAGGAAAGGGACAGGGTTAAGCACTAATATTGCAAAGMAACAAACACATACAACAAATAAACTCTGTGCCTGCCCACCTCTGTGTACAAGTATCTAATGAAGAAGATAGTCAACACTGTTCTGGATATTTGGAAATGTGGATGCAACACTTTCACAGGATTCTGATGAGAATGTTCGTGAACATATTCTCTTTTCAACAGACCCCAAACTTCTCCAAGATAACAGATGTGAAAACACTCGGGAAAAGCAAAATGTTGTACATATTTGGTTATCATTCATGAATAATCACTCATCAGTTTTCTCCCTTAGATCAGAAAACTAAGACAGGAACAATGGTCATTTTTATCTTTTTCATAAAAGATAATTCTTATTTTTTAAGAGAGAGAATTTTTAAATATTTAGTTTTTAGTTTTTGGTGGACACAACATCTTTATTTTATTTTTATGTGGTGCTGAGGATCGAACCCAGTGCCCTGCGCATGCCAGGCGAGCGTGCTACCTCTTGAGCCACATCCCCAGCCCGATAATTCTTATTTTGTGTGATGTGTAACACAAATTTATTAGCACAACATGCTTATGTAAGTTTCAAAATAATGTGAATAATGGTTAGCAGAACTTATCAGGGTATGGTTTTTGGAACTGCCTAAGTCTATGGGAGTTTAATATATAACATAAAATTATTCTAGGCATATTTTTTAAAATAATGAAAAGTTATCAATGAATTAAATATTTTAAAGCACAAATAGTTACATACTTTTGATTTAAGGTGTCTAGAAATTTTATTTTTAAAAATTTCTTAAATATTAATTCTTAAAGACTTAAAGAATTCTCTAAAACATATTTCATTTTGATGGCAAAAGTTAGAAAAGGTGTTTGCCAAAATGGTTACAGTCAGCTAATGAAAAAGGAACATCATTTAAATTTTGAGAATATGGTTGATATAACTATTATAGTAAAAAAAATGTTTATCAAGAAGTTTACATAAGGAGGATTCAAAACAATGGAATTGTTCTACAACTATTTTCATAAATCACACTTTTGCAATACCCCAAGGATGGTTTACCCCATACACTCTAAGTTGATGCTATAGCCTTTTCAGGACATAGGTGCTATAGTGTACTGGCAGCTGGCAGTCACTACAGTCACACAACTGTCTTGTAGAAACTCAAGAGTTTTGACCATCCTTGATTGACTGGGTTTGGAAGGTAAAATGCTCTTCTAGTATGGCATTGCAGTTGCATAAACTTATACATACAATTTTAAAATTTTGAATAAATAAAAGGATGCTTGCATATTGAAAGGATGTTGAGGCTAGATAAAGTCTTCTTTTTATTGTCTTGCCCTTTGGAGTTAATATCTATAAATTGTGGACATAATGTTAGTCTCAAATAGCTTAGGTTCCAGAYATCTTTGGTCAGTGATTGTCTTAATTGCTAAAATGTGTTGTTTATCCTTAATACAAGGGTGATATAAAGGATGAGGAAGAAAAGTTGCATGTCTTTGAAAGCCTTCATCTTCATCAACTCATGGACGTTATTTATATACATAATCAGAAATAAGAAGGAGTGGTTTCAAATGAGGCACTTTATAAAGAGCTGCTGACCAGGTTCTTTAAATGTCCTTTAAACTCCTCTTTTAGGAAGAGTTACTTGCAGATCTTCATGGAATAGATGCCTTTAAGGATTTCATCCTACGCAGGGACTACAGGATGCCTAGGGTGAGTACATTGGGCAAAGCCCTGCTGGGGGCTTCATAGCTCACAGTTGTTGGCAGGAAGGCATTACTACCCCCAACAGAATCTTAGTGCTTCTACAGGCATCTTCCAAGACTCATGCTCTTGGAGGAAAGGTTATGCTTCTCTATAGACAGGGACCCAGAGACAGGAGGCAGCATTTTGCCCTTTTTATTTTGCTTGGTTTCTGCTACTGTCAGAGGTGCCTTGTCTCTCTGCCRTCTCACTCCCTTTCCATAGGTTTGGCCTCAGTGGGACTCAAGTGAAAGAGGTCTGTGTACAGGGCATATGCTTTGCAAATTCTGACTGTTACTAAAACACACTGAGTTTTTTAGGATGTTTCTGAATCTCCTTTATTTCCAGGTCTAAGAATAAAGAGCTGTGGCTTAAGATAGAGTTGAGATCTGCTATTTTGTCACTGTTCTGCAAGGTCTCCTTCGAGTGGAAAAGGACTAGGGCCAAAGATTCCCTCCGGAGGCCTGTCAGAATCTGATGCCTCTTTTCCCTTTCTTCTCTTCTGCCTTTTGAGTTCTGTTCCTTTAAATTGTAAAGCTGGCTCCAGCCTCTTCCCATGGATAACCCTGATGCTACACCCCTTAGAAGACACAGGGGAGGTCAGCAGAGAGGAGAGTTCAGCAGGAGAGTCTGCAGTCTGGAGCTGGGTACCCAGACCACTCCTGTAACYACAGCAGATTTGGGACCAAAGTTGTAGCTAATAGTAAGTCATGCATTTGTCCTCTGTCTTTTATGGACATCCCTTAGGGTCATTAGGGGGCAGTGCAGCCAAGATGGTCAGGCGTTCCTAGACATGGAAACTAGATTTTTTCCCCCCCAAGGATGATAGAACCAACAATGGCTTATGCTTACTGACAAAGAAGTTTACACATTGACCATGTTCAGAGCCAAATTGGTTTCAGAGTTAAAGGAGACAAGTTTAGAGGTGGAGATGTGGGATTAGAAGACTCCATTATAGAATCGCAGTGGTGTCCTTTAGCTCTGAACATCAATACTAGGCCAGCAAGGTGTGCTTAATATATTTATACAAATAGTTTTATACTTATATATAGTGGTGATGGCTGTACATAAGGTTCACATAAATATATCTCTACAGATTTATATGTAGAATACATATTTTTATTTTATTTCATATATTTTATATGTTCATAATTGAAACATACATAATATACAGATATATAATTACGTGATTTTATTTATATATATATATATATATATATATATATATATATATATACATATATCCTTCTTTCCTTCCTTCCTTCCTTCCTTCCTTCCTTCCTTCCTCCCTCCCTCCCTCCCTCCCTCCCTCCCTTCCTTCCTTCCTTCCTTCCTTCCTTCTTTTTGTTCTGGGAATGGAACCCTGGGGTGCTTTACCACTGAGTTATCCTATCCTTTCTCAGACTCCCAAGTCACTGGGATTACAAACATACCCCACTGTGCCCAGCCCTAATTTGTTCTTTTTTTTTATGGACACAGTAGCTTTATTTTGTTTATTTAGTTTTTTGATGTGGTGCTGAGGATCGAACCCATGGCCTCATGCATGCTAGGAAAGCACTCTACCACTGAGCCACAACCCCAACTCCCTAATTCGTTCTTAATGCTATAGTGTCTCATATTTCTTTTTTAAAATATTTTTTTGGTTGTAGTTGGACAAAATACCTTTATTTTATTTATTTTTATGTGGTGCTGAGGATCAAACCCAGCGTCTCACACGTGCTAGGCAAGGACTGTACAGCTGAGCCACAACCCCAGCCCCTGTCTCATATTTCTACCTTAACATCCTTAACATTTTTAGTGACAAAACACTCTATTTTTCCCATTTTGGTTTGTTTCCTATTGGTTTAATCTGCTCTATAGATAAGCATGTAGATCAATTTTGGAAGCACGAAGGAAGCATGCCTGACATACTGGCTATATTCTTCAGCTGATTTAACTACAGAGGGATGATGCCTCTGGCTACAGCTGAGTCCTCTGAGAAGAGCTGTCACTCAAAGTCCTACAGTATTTTGTCCCTTTATTCTTGCATTTCATAGTCTCTTATCAAAAATATTTTAACTAAAAGAAGGGATCTATCATRGCAAACGAGATGCATATTCATACACACATTTATACATAAAGTATTATATATATAATCATTTTTTGCTTAAATTTATATGTGAACATTCCTTCTCTTTTTTTTACCCATAATGTATGTTACATTGTGTAGGCGTATATTCACAAATGCTACTTGAGCATATGTATTTATATACACATTCCAGTATCTGCTCCTAGAATATCTACCTTATGCATTGCCCACAGCTTCATTTCCTCTACTACACAAATGGATCCCAGGCCTTTAACAGCAGAGATGAGTAGCATAAGACTGCTGAGCTGGGCTGGGCCAGGCTTGGGCATAGGACATGTGTGAATTCAATTGCAGTATTTCTGATTCTGTGCGACCACCTTCTAAAGATCATTGTCTCTCATGGTCAAGTTATTAACGTGATTTTGTGTAGGTAAGGATATATGTCAGAGAGTGAGATTTTTAATTTGGATGTGATAGTGGTTTGTGGGGAGGACTGTACAGATTTTGTTGGCTAATCTAATGAAGCCTCTCTCTCTCTCTCTCTCTCTCTCTCTCTCTCTCTCTCTTGCTCTCTTTTAGTTCCTTGAGAAGATTTATATTGGGAAGAAAGATAAATGTGCATATAATAAGACTCCTATAAAACTTACTTGAGCATAGAAGAATCTTGGAAAGATAATTAGGCATATTTTATTGACTACATACTTGGCTATTACTTTCCCGTTTTAAACATTAAGTAAAATTTATGATACGTGTCCTAAGTGTCTTACTGTGGATATACAACTGCAACTTGTCAACATCCATAAATGTAAAATCTAATGCTACAAATATTTCTCATTGTTACCTGCTTCATTTTAGTTGTAGTTGGACATAATACCTTAATGTTTTATATATTTTATCAAATCTGAAATCAATATTCACATGTATTCTTCTCACATTTTTATATCATTGTGAATATTACATAGGTAATATCAACTATTTGTAAAAATAAATGAAACAACAATAAAGGCAGAATTGCTTTATTGAATTTTTCCCAATTGTTATTCCTGGTTTTGAGTGAGTATCTCATATTTTTCTTTTACTTTACAATATTATTTTTTTTCACTTTTTTTTAATTTTTATTGTTGGTAGTTCAAAACATTACACAGTTCTTAATATATCATATTTCACAGTTTGATTCAAGTGGGTTATGAACTCCCATTTTTACCCCGTATACAGATTGCTGTATCACATCAGTTACACTTCCATTGATTTACATATTGCCATTCTAGTGTCTGATGTATTCTGCTGTCTATCCTATTCTCTACTATCTCCCTTCCCCTCCCCTCCCCTCCCCTCCCCTCCCCTTTTCTCTCTCTACCCCTTCTACTGTAAATCATTTCTTCCACTTGTATTATTCTTCTCTTACCCCTCCTTTCCTCTTATATGTAATTTTGTATAAACCCTGAGGATCAACTTCCATTTTCATGCAATTTCCCTTCTCTCTCCCTTTCCCTCCCACCTCTCATCCCTGTTTAATGTTAATCTTCTTCTCTAGCTCTTCATCCCTACCCTGTCCTTTTTTTTTTCACTTTGAATTAAGCTAGCTGAAGCATTTTCTTTTTTCTTTATTAGGCAGTTAATCTTGATGATAGTGTGTACCTATAATATAAGGTCATAGATCAGAAAGTTTAATGAAAACTCAAGATATCTATTTTAATTACTTAAAAACTATATTTTTATTAAAATATTACTACAAATGTTAGTAAAATCCAGAAAACATAGAATACTGGAAATATCAATAAGTCCTCAAGAGTCATCAAGGACCACTCTTTACTCACTGAAATGTATCCTTCTAGATCTTTCTTCATGAAACCCACTTAGGTCAATTTAATCAGAATGAATTTATTACAAGAATATTGGCTCCTGCAGAGAATCTTTACAGTCAGAGGACCAGATTTGGGGTCCTCCCTGCCTGGGACAATACCCAAATCCATGCCTCAAATCTGAGCTGGTGAAAACATCTTTGTTGATGTTCTGGACAGGTAATGTCAATCAGCACGGAGGTCGCCATCAGCAATGGATGCTGGATGCCACCACCAGAGTCACAGAGCCACACCTCTATACTTGTACAGCATCAGGGTCACACCCACCTGTCCCAGTGTGTATTCTGCCCACTCCACCTCAGAGTCTCCAGTGAGGTATTTGGTGGGTGGAACCCAGGTCCATACCTATGAGAGAGGCAGGCAGAGGAAGACTGCATATGGCATTTTCAGATTCTGCAGTGTGAGGAGACACACCTTTCATTTTTTTTAAATTTAAAATTTTTCTTCATTTTTTAATTAAAAAGAGCAGAGGGATTGGGGATGTAGCTCAGTAAGAAAATATATGCTTAATATAAGGGTGAGGCCTTAGGTTCAATCCTTAGCATTGATTGGGGGAAGAAGTATCACAAAGGACTTTCCTTGGTTAACACATCATCCATTCTACAGAAGAAGGCACAATCATCTTCTCCAAAGTGGTTAGTTCAAAATTTTATTCATTACTGCATCTGCCCTTAAATATCAAATCTCTGGGTGAGGGCCTTTCATCCTCTGGTTCTGTCATGATCCCATCATGATAATCTGTATGTTCAACTAACTACATTATGAATTTGATTACCAGTAACACACCCTTAGTAGGAAAAGAGAAAGAAGAAGCTTTTTGGAAAATATGGTAGATATAACATGGTAAAAAAGAAAATGCATACAGGAGCAATGATATTCATTTCTACAACTGGTTAAGAGGCAATGGCTGCTATTATATCATTTCCTTCATCTATTTTCCAGGCCAAATGCTTGTTATTTTTAGCTAGTCACTTGGCTGGTAGGAATTATATAATTAGTAGAGTGACCTAAACCTTTCTTCACAAAGAGTCTGGGCCTTGGTGATCCTGACACAGGACTTTTTATCACTGGATATGGAGGAACTCCAAGAGGTCCCCTGGTTTCCATGAATATTATAAATCAGTCTGCATTTGTTAGTGATCAGACTGCTACCCACAATGACTGGGTAGCAGTCTGAGCTTCTAAATCAATGGAACTATATTATTTTGTTTTGTTTTTCTGGTGGAAGTCTTTTCTCAAGCTTTTAAATCATCAGAGCACAGTCCTGGGGCTGAGGTACAATTTTGCAGGTGAACCTTAAGGAGGCCTTCCTCCTAATGCCTTGGCTCTGAGACCCATGTGTATTCTGGCTGTAGGAGAAAGGGCATTAGTTGCTGGTTGAGTAAATAAAGTCATCCCTTAGTATCTGTTGGAATTGGTTCCAGGATGCCCTGAAGATAACAAAAATCTGTGGATGTGGCAGGCTTTTGACATTTAGTCCCAGGATTCCGAGTTCAGGTGCCAAGCAGAAAGTGTTCTGGCAGTGGGGGGTGGGGGGTGGAAAGAACTCATTTCCTTCCCTGGCCACATCATTCCTGGATTTGTTATATTCAAGCCTGTTGCATGTCAGGGACTTGTGATTGGCTTTAATTACTGAACAACTAAATATTCAACAGCAGCAATAGCCAGATCAGCTTTGATGCAGCTGAACCCACAAATTGCTGAACCCACATACAACGTGCAATTCTACCACCAAGCCCACTTTGTTCATGAGTCATTGGACCCTACTGGAGTGCCTGGAGGAAGGAGTAGGTGACGCGCAGAGGACTGGTCAACTTTTCACCTGATTATTCAGCAATTCCTCTCTCAAGAAGGTCTTTTGATGAATATTTACAAAGAACTAAATATTGTCAAGTCTGTATCCGTTCTCTGAGAGATATATATATCTCTCCCTCAAACATTCTTGCCAATAGCCTTGTATTTCTGGGCCTTCCAAGTCTCAGGCTGCTGAGCTAAAACATCAGCTACTGACTATTAACTGATAATATCTGTGCCTCAGGCCATTTCTCTGTTCAGATACAGTGGTCAACAGGATATGTCTTAATTCATTTTCTGTTGCTATAACTGAGTGCCACAGACTGAGTAATTTGTAAAGAATAAGGGTGAGAATGTGGCTCTGTGGTAGAGTGCTTTCTTAGTATGCATGATACCCTGGGCTCAATCCCCAGCACCGCAAACAAATAAATAAACAAACAAACAAATAAATGGGGGATATGATTAAGCTCATGGTTACAAGACTGGAAAGTCCAAGATCTAGTAACTACTAGATCTGGTGAGGTCCTTCTTGCTGGTGGGGACTCCCAAGGGGCATAGGGCGTCACATGGCAAGACAGAATATACTAGCTCTGCTCTCTCCTCTGAAGCCGAAGTCTCATYGGATTAGCGCCCCACCCTTATTGCCTCATTGAAGTTTAACTACCTACCAAATGTCTCACCTCTAAATATCATAGTCAGATTGTTTTCTTCCTCTTAAAACCTCAGAATGGGAGTTAAATTTCAGAATGAGTTTTGGTGGGGATGTTTAAACTATGGAAAGATGAAATGTTTAAAATTCTACTTTCTGGAAAATTTCCCTTCCCTGCTGATCTTCAGTACCACCTTTGAGTTGGGCTGTAACGTTGCAGCTGTCCTCTTGTGGCCAGTGCCCAGCTGTGCAGACTCGTAGGCTGAGGAGGAAAGAGTGGTGTGGTGGGAGTGGCACATCATGCAATCCAACGGTCTTCGATGTCTGCTCAAGCCCCATCCAATACAGAAGACTTCCACTGGATCATGAGATGCAATACAGTTTGGCAATGAAACATGGGCACCTTGGAGCCAGGGGGTAGATTCTAACCAAGGTGTGCCCCTTATTAACTATAACTTGGACAAATTGCTTATCCCCTCTGTTCTGGTTTAGATATGAGGTGTCCCCCCGAAGCTCCTGGTTTAACATAGGAAGTGAAACGATTAGATTATGAGAAATGTAACTTAATCAGTGGGTGGGTTGATCCATTTGATGGATTAATAATTTGAGAGGACTAACTGGGTGGTAACAGTAGACAGGTAAAACATGACTGTTAGAGAGAGGTCATTGGGGGGAGGCCTTTGGCAATTATTTCTTGTTTCCTTGAATCTCCTCTCTCTCTGTTACCTGGCTACCATAAGTAAGCAATTTTCTCCCACCACCTCCCGTCCACCGTGACATTCTGCCTCACCTTGGGCCCAAAGCAATGGAGTCTGTTGACCGTGGACTGAACCAAAATAAACCCTTTCTCCTCTCAATTGTTCTGATCAGGTATTTTAGCTTACAGCAAAGAAAAGCTGACCAACACACTCTTTTTGCTTTAGTCTTCTCATCTAAAATAAGGACCATAAAAAAAAAATAGACAGTACTATCTCCCAGAAATGTGGTGAGGATTAGAAGAAATGTTAGAAGTTCTTAGAACAGAGTCTGGCACATGAACACACACACACACACACACACACACACACACACACGAAATGTTAGCTGACTTTACAGCTTGGTGGATCAGATAACCCCCTGTTTATCATGGGCATCTGTCACATGGTACCAACTGTGTCATCATCAGACTGCTGTATTTACTAGTGCCCAGCAAGAAGCCCCGATCTGTTTCTCAAAAGGGAGAACAGTTATTAGCCACAGGGTTTGTGGCTCGACTACAAAACCCCAAGGATCTGTGCTATGCTTCTCCTTTCTGGACACACCAAAGCTCCATTCAGCAGCCACAGGTGCTGAAAGCACATTGGCTCGCCTGACCCAGAGGGCGGTGCTTCCTGGACTGGCTAGAAAACCTTCTCTTGCTTCATGCTGCTCTCAAAGCTGGCAGCTTCTCAGATGACTAAAGAAATGAGCTGAAACAGCATGTCTAAATCTGACCTCCTTATTCCTTCTCAGCCTTTTGGCTAAGACCAAGTGTAAATCTGGCCTCCCAAA